CTGCTGGGGGAATGAATGAAGGGGATCCTGGGGGCCTGTGGGTGAGTCACTCATTCCTGCCTCTTCCTGAGACCTGGGGCTGCACAAGGTCAGACAGAGGACGAGGGGCCAGCAAAGGGGGCCATGTAGGAGGGGCCATGGGGTCACAAGGAAACCAGGAGGAGTGAGTCACAGCAGGACGACCTGGGGGCCCAGAGGGGAGGTCAGTGTGGACGCTGCTGAGAACCAGGTGAGGTGGGACAGGGAAGGGTCCATTGGATTAAACTGGGCAACAGAAGGTCCTTGGTGGCCTGGACAGGAGCAGGGGTCTCACCCGAGGGTCCAGCTCCATGCTCTCCCCAGGCTGTGGGTCTTTCATGGCAGCATCTGCAGGGGCAGAACAGGGGTATGTCTCCTGGCAGGTCCCCGAGATCTCAGGGCTGCAGACCCCGCCTGCTCCCAGATGGGCCACTAACCCAGGGTGAGGTGCAGAGCCAGGTCACACAGTGTGGGTCTCAGTCCTTCTCACCCCTGACCCCCATCCTCCCAGCCTAACCCTCCCCATCATCTCCCCCAAACCCTGTGCCCTCGCCCCCAGGGCAGCTGTCTCTTCCTCTCACAGAGGTGCTCCTCCTGGGTGTCCACAGCTGGGCTGGAGCTGAGGGAGGAGACAGAAAGTTAGGGGCAGAGCTGGGCCACAGGATGTGGGTGTTGGGGGACTTGGGGGCAGGAATTACCTGCTCTGCAGGCCTCTGTCCTTGGCGTCTGGGTGTGTGGTCCCTGCAGGAGGTTGGACATGAACCCCTCTCTGGGCTGGACAAGAGGGACAGTCTCAGCCCTGGGAGGTTAGAACCCCCTCCCCATGAGATTCCACTGAAAACGAGGAAACCTTAACATACCTTGTGTGTAAATTTTAATATTTCATAAGATCGAAGGTGATGAATGATTACCTTAATTACATACACGTGTGCTAACATTGAGTGTTTTCTTTCTACAGTTTCCGATTTGAGATTCTGGAGAAATCCTTTTCCCAGCTGACCTTCTCCATCCATTTGGTTTTCTGTGGCTGGTGCTCTGAGCCCCCCTCCTGTGACCCAGGTCACCCCGTCCCTTACCCACCTGACATCCTGCCTTTGCGCTGACTTCGGTGTCGGAGGAGGAGGAGAAACAGGAGGATGGAGAGCAGCAGGAAAAGGGCCACGGAGACCCCGATCAGGATGTTCAGGTTCCATTTGGGAACTAGGACATGGGTGACATCATGAATGAGCCAGTGATGCCATTTAATGAGCACCTACTGTGTGCAAGGCATATGATGGGGTCTGTCACTCATCTCCTCTCACCTCACAGCAGTCATGCACCAGGGATTGCTGACCCCACCACCCACTTCACTGAGGCTCAGAGAGGTTAATCACCTGCCCCAGGTCACCCAGCCTGGATGGGGCAGGGCTGGGACTGGAAACCAGGACTGTGAGTTCCCTGTGCTGTCCTCATGGTGCCCCCACCCAAGAGGGACACCAGCTTCGAGCTCTGGGCTCCTCTGTAGGGGACTATCCATGTCTCATGGGTAACTGAGGGTCCTTCCTCATTACCACCCCCAGCACAGCATGGACAGGGAGGGGCAGGTTGAGGGCTGGACTCTGAGTATCTCCCTCATTGGTCTCCACCCTGCAGGCCCTGATGCCCCCTTGGGAAGGTCAGGCTGGGCTGGGGCTCTGCCTTCCTGAGCTCTGTGAGGCCCCAATGTCACCTCATCTCCCAGCAGCCTGTGAGCAGGATGGGACCAGGGATGAGCAGACAGGAACCCCACACTCAGAGGAGAGAAGGGACCACCCAGCCCCACAGCAGGAGCAGCAGAGCCAGGAGCTGAACCAGGACTAATCCACCCTGTTCCCTCCTCTGAGCTGAGCCTGAGCTGAGGGGTAGGACTGGGTGCCCGGACCCTTGTCCTGTCTGTCCCTCCCTGTGCAGTGTGACTGTCACTGAGACAGAGGGGACAGGCCCCATAACATCACGTCCTGGGGGCTTCCCTGTGAGGCCCCTCTCCCAGGAGGACAGGGCCAGAACCGACAGGAAATATAAGCTCTGAACAAGGATTCTCTCCTTTTACACCTGGAGACAATGAGGCCCAGGCAGGGGAAGGGGTATCCAAGTCAGTGTCCCTCGAGGGGTTAAACCACTTCATGGCTCAGCCCCTGTTCCCCATGGAGGCACCTACCACCTCCCCACGGAGACCCTCATTTACTCCTCTGTGGGCCTGACTCCATGGGGCAGGGGGGGCCGATCCTCAGAGCCTCCTGAGGATCAGGATGGGTGAGGGTTTGGTGCTGCCTTCTCCCCAGTTGAGTCCAGTTCTCCCCCCTGAGACTGGGCCCCAGCATCTCCCTCTGTCATGACCACCCCACCTGTCACCTGCCTCACTTCCCCCTCTTAGGCCTGACTCTGTGGTGGGTGAAGGGTGAACCCTCAGAGCCCGTGAAGGCCTGTGGTCCCCCTCAAATCTTTACTGGAATCCCTGCCACCCGCCGCCACTCCCACCTCTCCCGCGGGACAGAAGCGTATCCTTAATTGTCAGGGTGGCCTTAGGTCCTCTGAGAGACTCAGAACTGCCCGGGGGTGGTCTAGCTGCCTCTGAGCAGAGGGGACCCAATGGTTCATCAGCTGTGGACATGGGCCCTGTGGGTGGGGGGCTGGGATCCCAGAGGGTCCTGGGAAGGAGGACAGAAGGTGGGTGAGAATCTGGGACTGACCCTGGAGTCCCCACCTCACTCAGATCCCCTGCATCTGCCCTGTGGCCACTCAGACCCTCCCACTGCCCACCGGGCACGTTTAGGATTCAGGTGACGGGGAGGGGTGCATGTGGGTGACCATCCCTAGTGCACCACCTCCCTTTCAGCCCATTATCCTTCTGAGGACAGGACCCTTAGCTGACAGCTCAGCAGACAGGGTCAGGGGCTCCTCACCTGAGACCAGGAGCTCCATGGACTCACTGGGGAGTGACAGCAGGTAGGGGGAGGTGCTGCGTGAGCTGTAGCACCTGTAGGTGCCCCCGTGGGCTGAGGTCACAGGGCTCATGGAGAACTCCGCCTGGTACTGCTGAGCTCCATACTCTGATCTCAGACGCATTGGGGGATCGGCTGCCCCCTCCTTGGACAGAAGGAACGTGTCCCTCGGCCTCTGTGACTGACACAGCAGGGTCACGTTCACTCCTGAGGCCACCCTGGGGCCTGGCTGCACCAAGAGGGAGGGTCTGTCAGGCAGCCATCCTAGAGAAAGAGAGGCAGGGGGGTGAGGGATGCCTGCCCACCTTGTTCTGCCTTGAGAGTCACCAGGCCTCTCTCTGAGCACCCTCCTGTCTGTCTGTCTCTGTTTCTCTGAGTCTCCCCTCTCCCCTCCCACCACCTCCCTCTCCCTCTGTCTCTCTCCCTCCCTGAGGTCCTACACTTTCATTCTGGCCTCACCCCCTGAGAGCCCCAGCAGGGCCTGTGCAGAGTCTGGGTCCCTGACTGAACCCACTGGCTCCTCACCTGCCACCAGGATGTCCAGGGGGTCACTGGGGGCCGACCACTCAGAGGAGAGGTTGTATCCACCATAGCATCTGTACCTGCCCCCGTGGGAGCTGCTCTCAGTGTCCAGGGGGAAGTGGGCCTGAGAGAGCCCAGCCTGGGGCTGCAGGACAAGGCTCTGGGCGAGGTCCCGTCCCCCCTCCTTGTGCAGAGCGAATCTGTCATAGCCGACATCAGAGCGACACTGGAGGGTCAGGTTCTGTCCAGAGGCCACGATGGGGCCCTGCTGGCTCAGGAGGGAGGGCTTCCCAGACTCACCTGGGGAGACCAGACATGAATTACAGGGGCTGCTCTCCCCATAACCTCCTTCTGCTGGCCTGGCTCCCAGGTCTCACTGTCTCTCTCTGTGTCTCTGGTCCGGGAGCCACTGTGCTCCCTACGCCTACCCTTCTCACATGGGTCTCCCCTCACATAAGGAGGCCCATATGTGTCTGGTGTGTCGATCGATTAATGGACAATAACGGGACTTACCTGAAACCAGGATCTCCAGGGCATCACTGGGCTGTGAGCACACATAGGGTCTGTTCTTGGAACAGCCATAGCATCTGAACCTCCACCTGTGGCTGGGGGTCACAGGGCCCACAGGGAACTGAGCCTGGAACTGCCCACTGGGCTGTGGCTGTGAGTGCAGGACCCAGGAGAGCCTGTGATCTCCTTCCTTAGTCAGAATGAATCTGCCAAATCGCTGTCCTGAGCCACACTGGAGGGTCACGTTCCCTCCTGAGGTCATGACAGGGCTGGGCAGGGCTGACAGGCTGGGTTTGCTGTAGGATCCTAGGAGAGGAGGAGGCAGCATGTTAAATGGGCTCACACCTCCCTCATGTCCCCCAGGGCTGGGCTGTGAGAAGGGGACACCCTGAGAGCAGACCCCCCTCCTGAGGGCAGAGCCTGAGGCTGGGACCCCTGAGTGTCCTCTCACCTGTCACCACCAGCTCCAGGGTATCACTGTGCTCTGACCAGCCAGCAGGGCTGCGATACTGACAGCGATATCTACCAGCATCACCCTCTGTCATGCGGGTGATGGACAACATCACCTTGTCCCTGGGCTCCAGTGGCTTCTCTGTTTTCCATGGTGCTGTGCTTCCCTCTTTCTCCAAAAGGTACTCCTCAGCCTCTGGGTTCCCCTCACACCAGATGGTCACGGGGCTCCCCCAGGGGATCACAGGGCCTGGTTCAGCCCAGATGGTGGGCTTGGGGAGGGGTCCTGGAAGGAAACCAGTAGCTGTGTTCTAAGATATTTCGAACCCTCAGTCCCAGCTCTCAGCCCAGAATCTTCCCAGATGTTACTCGTCTGTTAGCTTAGAACACTGTCCTTCCCCAGCTGCCTTGGGGGTGGCCCTTGTCCCCAGTGAGGAGCAGGATCTGGAACACGTATAGATCCTCACCTGCCTGCATTGGAGTCCTGAGGCCCACACTCAGCCCTGGAAGAGAGTCTCTGTGAGAGATTTGCCCTGAACCCTGAGCACCTCCCTTCTCCCCAGGAGCCTCCTGAGTCCTGGGGTCCTGACAGACCAGAGCTCCCCTCCCTCTCCCATCTCACCGAGGCAGAGCAGGGCCGTGAGGGTGGGAGTCATGGCGTCTCCTCTCTTTACACCTTGCTGTGCAGATGTAAGAGGCCACAGTGTCCTCTGAACAGTCAGACACACAGGGTGTGGCCCCTGGGAGGCTGGTCCTGCCTGTGATGGTGCTCTCACCTCAGCAGCCCCACAGAAAGGGGAACATTCACTACCCAAAGGCCCGCATCTGGTTTACATGGTGAAGCTGAAATAGACCCAGAGCCTCCCGAGACACCCCTTGCAAGTGAGGTGACCCAAGGCACGTCCTTCCCTTTCAGAACCTCCCCCACGGGGTCTCCTTCCTCCTCAGCCCATCCATCAGCACCTCCCTGAGGTCCTCACCATGGACAGTGCCACCTGCACCCTGGAGACGCTTCAGGAAGATGTGGGTCCCTGTGGCCTGCAGAGTTCAATCAGCAAGGACAAGCTCACCCTCTTACTATGCAGCTCAGGGCGATGTCACTGTGACAATGAGCACAGAGGGAAATGCAGGGAAATAAGGGAAGGAAACACGTTACTTCTCCTGGCCCTGACTGTGGCTTTCTTTCTCTCACAGCTGCCTTCGAGGACTTCTCTTTTTTTCGTAGCCACAGCATCTACCACCGCTTCTTGGGGACAAACTTCTGAATCATTTTTCCTCCTCAGTGCCCCTTGCTTCCTGTGTTAAATTTTCCTCCTCACCCTATGATCCAGCCTTCAAGCTTTAGGGCACATTGGTTTGGGTTGGAGTTCTGATTTTAACTTAAATAAAATATTTATTAATTATGTCATATATTTACTGATTTATTTGTTTACTAATATTATTTTTTGCTGAATACAAGAGGCCCTTGAAGTTCTTATCAAGATCCTTGAGCAACCTTATGACCATTGTTTTGAGCTCTGTATCTAGTGGTTTGTTTGCTTCCATTTCATTAAGTTCTTTTTCTGGAGATTTCTTCTTTTTTTTCACTGGGGATACGTTTCTTTGTCACTGCATTTTGGCTTCTTCCCTGTGCTTGCTTCTAGGTATTATGTAGAGCTTCTATGTCCCCTTGAATTGGTAGGGTGGCCTTGCATAGTAGGTGTCCTGTAGGACCCAGTGGTTCAGCCTCCCCAGTTACCTGAGCTGGGCCCTCTAGGTGTGCCCATGTGTTGGCTGTGTGCACTATCTTGTTGTAGCTGAGCCTTGATTGCTATTGTCATCACTAGGAGCAATTGACCTCCAAGCCAATTGGTTGGGAGGACCAGCTGTAACTATAATGGAGGAGCTGCTGTGCAGGAGGCACTCCTATAGAGCAGGACTTGCTTCAGTGGGGTTTTGG